ATATACATATATATATACATATATATATCAATCTTTGAATCATTTTCGAGAAAACGACTTTGAGAAAATATTTGATAGAATTTAATTGTTAGTGATACAAGATATTAAAGTATTGAATTTTCAGAGTTTTTTAAATTAAAAATAATTGACCATTGAAATACTGACAACACGAATTGATACGAGAATTATTTTAATTGTAATTGTAATATATATACCTGACAAGTCGATCTTTTGCAATAACGGTAATTCAGCAAAGCTGTCGTTGTGTAGCTCGATGATCCTGTTCCTCTGCACATTCAATATTCTTAACGTTCTCGAATTTAAGTTACGCGGTAACGACTGCAGATGATTGTCTTTCAAGTTCAGGCTTCTGAGTCTGGGCATCTCCTCCAAGGAGTTCGCCCTGAAGTGACTGATTAGGTTGAAGGATAGGTCCAACGACGTAACGAGAGTCGACAGATCCGGGAATCGATTCAGAGAGTTGTAGGAAAGATTCAGAAGTCTGAGATCGATGTTATCCCGGAACGCCAGCCTGTGAACTTCCCCGAGACTGTTCGCAGACAGATCTAGTACCTGAAGCCTCACCAGACCTTCGAATGTGCTGACATTCAGTCGCTCCAAGTTGTTCGCGTTCAGGTACAAGTGCGTCAGCTGCTTGTTTTTCGCGAAAATACGATCGGGTAGTAAACGAATTGTGTTGCGGGAGAGACGAGCCTGCGTCAACGACGGGAGACCATGAAGACCGGGTCGATCAAGGTTACATCTCGATACGTCCAGTTTCTTTAGCTTTAGATGCTCTAGGGTCGAATGTCTACAAACGAGTAATATAGTTATTTATAAAATTCTTGTTAAGGTTTTTCGCGTTTAATATAAAAGCAATCAAATCTATTACACGCCATCTTCAACGATTATTCGAAATATAAAATTAATTAAAATTGTATAATCAAATAAAAAGTTTCATTACCGAGTACTGTACACTAACGTAGGATTATTGATCAGTCGTAGCTCCTCCAGTTCTGGAAGTCCGCTAAAAGTGTCTGGATAGAGGTAGTTTAGGACGCAGTCAGACATGTCCAACCATCGCAATGTTTTGCTGACAGGCGTTTCAATACTTCTCAGCGGATTTCCCGCGAGACTCAGAGTAGTCAGCACCGGCAGTTCACTCAAGGATTCATTGTTAAATTCTTTTATAACTAAAACACATGAAGCTTTTGTTAGTCCAATACACACGTGCATATTGTTCAATCGTGAGAATTTCTTTTATGTATGTGTAAGAAAAGTAGATAAATCTCCGTATTATTAAATTTTTATATTAAATGATACTGTTAAATTAGAATATACGCGTAAATACGCTCCTTTCGTAGTTTTATTAATTGTTATTATAGTACTGCATTTAATAAACAAACTTGATGATTTAGTGGATATTTTTGAAAATCGTCTTTGATGCTTTAAAAATCCCTATAATAAGTAATTTATACTTATGACTATCTTGATACACACGGCAATGGCCGGCATCCACTGCCTGAAGCACTTCGCTGGTTAGCCCTTTCAAGTCAGGTAATAGGTTCCTTGAGATGTATAGAACTGTCAGGGACGGTAGTTGGCTAATGGAAGCAATATCTGCCGTATTTACGATAATATTGTCTGATAGATCTAGTCTACGAAGCTTTCTTAATTCTTCGAGATTACGCGGCAGAGAACTGAGCTGATTCTTGGCTAAATTCAGGTACTGTAGCTCGATCAGCCGGTTAACTTCGTCGGTGATCTCACTTAAAAGATTGCTCGACAAATCCAGGTGCTCGACCTGTCGCAAGAGAGAAATAATTTTAGTCAGTAATTAAACGTTTTATTTAATGATAATCTAGAAGAATATATTTGTCAAAATTGAGTATATCATTAATTGCACTAATTCAATTATCTTGAACGTATCTTCTTCGTTATTCTCATCAAGTATATTTCTCGATAGGCACTACTTTTGTTTTATTTCACGCACGCGATAAGATGCGACAAGTCGCAATTGTCATCTCGTATGCTTACAATGACATTTAAATACAACAGAAAAGAAATCGGTAGAAGAAAGGGGGTCATTACTCATCGCAAATATACTCACCACATCACTGATATTTTCGGGAAATATCTGTAAGCCTTGCTTCGAACACTCGACGGTTCTGGGTAACTGGCTGAGATGGCACAGACACCTGGCAGGGCAAATGCTTTGACATCTCGCAATTGACAGAATTGTCAGCCACGTGATCAGCGACGGAAGAAACACGCCGCGACGTCTCATCGATCGTGCCTCCATGTTTCTTTCATATCACCGACGAGGCGAGTCAGGTCGAATGATCGCGCGTAGCCCACATTCTCGCAATTTCAATTCGCGGTCGTTATCGGGACGATACTCGCGGCCACCCGATCGCGCATTATCGACGTCCGAAAAGTCTTCGTTACGCCGGAAGTTACGTGAAGGATATAAAATCACTCACACCGAAAATTTTCTCGCCACGAATCGATGACCGAGCGTATATACCGCGTTCTCCGAACTGTGCTAAGAGCACTGAGCTAGTAGTTATCTTTGATAAGTAACGCAGGGTACGTCGCACGATATCTCCGTAAGATAACCAGACCGCCGTGTCGAGGTGTCGAGCGCGTTATTCTGTGCAAAGGGAACGGGGCAAAAAAAAAAGAGAATCGGACAAAGATAGAGTGGCGAAGTGCACCTGCGATTGCGTGATGATTCGTGCGTGTACGCAGCAGGATACACGGCATCCGTGATATCAGTCGGATATTTTGCTCGTTTGCCGACAACGATTGCGAGTCGGTCTTGTCGAGAGTTATTTCATTTATCACTTAAACCCGTGTTTTATATGTACTTATTGTTCAATCAATAATTTCAATGGCAATTTATTATTAATCATATCGTGCTCAATGTACGATTATTAATTGATTGTAAGACGCCGTGAACTTCGATCGAGAACTTCTACGCGCTCTCCCGCAAACTTGTTCGAACTTTAACGTCATCAATTTTTCGCTCCTGGTATTAGAGTCGCTTAAATTATTGAGACGTGGATGTTTTAACGAGCTCTGACGTAGGTCGAGATCCGCAGAAACAGGTTTTCCGCGGCGGAGACATGAATGGAAATCTGAATGGGCAGTGCCGCGGAAAATGTAAGACATTAGATAAATATCTCAAGTATCCCGAAAGCCGATATTGAAGCGGGCATCTCCTCTCTCTAAGCCTCTCTCGGCTGACCCATGCGGATATTTTCCTCCGCTCCCCTCACGACGCTGTCGCCGCATTACGATCTTTCTTCATCGTTTTTTTTCTCCTCGATCCGACAGAATCGTATCTGCGGCTTCTTCCTTCCGCGGTATCCAATGCAGGAATTAGATCAAATGTGGGAGTTCGTTACATTTATCACATTTATATTTATATTAAAAATAAAAGGATTGTCTGTAAATACTAAATTATCTACTCGAAGAAAAAGAAGAATCTTAAGAGTCTTAGTTTTCCGACAATTCAACTTTTCAATTGCGCGATTAAATTCATGGTTTGTGTCTTGGATAAAAAAGAGTTTTGAAAAAAATAGCACATCTAGTAATTTAAAGATGTTAGGATTTGCGAATAAAATCTTTAATTAGAAGCAAGTTGGATAAATTCCTAATAAGAAAAAATTAATGGTAAAGACATCAATGTAGGAATATAAGACGCAAAGTCGAGTTTCAATATGTACGAGTATGTAATGCGATTGAATAGAAATACGTTTGAGGAAATCAATATCAATTGCACGAATTAATTTGGGATAAAACCAGGTGACTGAGAGTAAATAAGTGACTCGCGATTATTTGGATTGCGGTGAGAAAGACCTCGGTCAAAGGCTCCACCCCTCAGAGAGAGGGATTTAAAAAAGACCTTATCCGCGCAGGACAGACTCGTTCTCTTTTTCACACGTCCGGTCGGGCCAATAGCGAGGGCAGGTCACACCCTCGGGAGGGTGCGAGAGGTTTAGCTAGCGCCGGCGCTTAGCTCTGGGCTTATCCGGTGGGGAAGAGGACGTGCTCTACCTGTTGATACTAAACCAACCCCTTCGCCGCGATTTCGCAAATCCGGAGTTTCACCGTTGCACTCGTGGTCACGCCCTCAACAGATATCCGTAGTTTTTCGCCAGCAGCCCTCCTTTACGCGCGATTTTATGGTGCCATTAAAAAGGAGTATTGTGTTTTTAGCAAGAGGACGATATAATTCGTCTCAATTGCAGAATTAGATTTTTTACAGATCGGAATTTAAAAGATCGAGCTAATTCCTGACACGCGGAGTCACTTAAGTCAATTTGTTGTGCTTATTCGTTGGAAGAGTAATACAATTGTCACAACGTATAACGGTTGCTTAATTATTCGATACTTAAACAGAATTAAATAGCAGACGATTGTTAACGCATAGTCACGGCCTAATGATAACTGAATTGTCTAATAGCCATACAGGCTATTATACATATAAATACGATAATTGAAAATCGATTCCCTATATATCGATTTCCCGTAATTACATATTTCATAACAGAATGTCGGGCTCCCCTTTGACTGTACCGCGCTCTTTAATCTATACAATTGGGTTCGCGATAGCGGTTGTGAATATTCACGCAATATCGAATTCGTGTTAGGTGCAGTAACCGCCGCGAAATGAAGATTCCACAGCCGCGAGAATGGCTTCGGGATCGATCATCTCGGCGCGCCGATTCCTCGCGCTCACCCCTGGCGCGCCGAACGCGCCAGCGAACCAGGTAGCAGATAGCTATAATTAAAAGTCGATCAGGCCAGGCCTTCGCAGATAAAGAGCCTTCGCCCGCGCGAATGTACAGTACGCGCCAATAACGCTCATTTGATTGGTCACGAGCTTGTAATCAGCAGAATAAATAAAATAACTTCAAGTAATAGCTACATATTGACTACAGTTTTGTAAACAGCAGCATGCGGCTTAATTATACATCGAGATAATTATTACATTGCGAACGTTATGTAAAATAGATGTACTTACTAAATAAAAAAATTGAAATTACAAAAAGCAACTTGACCAAAGGCAAGATATGACGACGCTCTTCTCTTGCAAAATTATATTTCACAAGCTTCAATTTTCGTCCGAAAAAAATTTATTTTTTGCAAAATATCGAGAGACTAACCATCTTTTTACACGAGGACCAAAGGAAAATAACAGTTATCTGTTTTGCTCATAATCGTCGCATCCGACAAAATGATTCAAATCGTTTACTCACTTCAGCTTCGTTTTACCCCTGTCGCTCCGAGCCAGTAGTGCAACTCATCCCGGTCGACGGTTCCTCCATCGCGAGAGACGTCTCGCCGGCGCGGCAGATCGGTCCCTCCGTCACTATTGAGGGCACCTGTACCGGAGAGGATATAATACCGGCGCGCGCTATCTGGAGTATATTTTTAACGCCTTCATTTCCGGCCGCGCTGGGACACCGGAAATAGCGGGACGATACCTCGCGGTGTTTCAGGTATTGATCAGTTCGAGGAGCCGGTGCCACACCACCCGACCACCCACTCCCCCCGGCGGATGAGGAGGGAGGCTGCACGGCTCTGCAAGCTCGAAGCTTCGACCCCCACACGGCCCCCCCTCCTCCTCCTGCCCCGCGTCTTCGCCACCCCCGCCACCGACGGCGGCGGCGGCGACGGCGGCGGCGTCCCGCTGGCGACGCCCCTGTCCGCCACCCCCAACCGCCGGCAGCGGCGTAACCGTCGAAGACGGATCTTTAGGTATCTCCGCCGTCTGCGCTCGGATCTTCGGACTACGCTCCGATGGCTCGGAGCGAACGAAAAGGGTGGTTGAGTGGGTGAGCGGATAGCCTGGTGGGGCGCGTTTTTAGGGAAGAAGCGAGAGCGGCGGAATGAACTTTGTTGCTTCGCGCGGGTACACACCCCGCGCCGCGACACGTACACAGAGGGTGGTATCGATGGCCGCGTCGATGACCGGAATATGGCTTGCTGGTAGCGAAGTCGCTGGAAGCGGCAAACGATAGAAGGGTTTGAAAGAACCGGACGTCAAATAGATTTGATTTAAACCTTTAATAAACGCATTGAAAAAATCTGTAATGTATGTAACCTTGCTAATTAAAGTGAAAAAGGCAATATGAAATGAAATTTATGTATGATCTGTATATATACATAAAATTGAAAATTAATATTCGCACTTTAGAAGTGTGATTTGAGTTCGATAGTTAATAAATAACAAATTAAATTAAATTATTTGCCAATTTTTTAGCAGTTGCATGTTTTTTTTAAGCTTAAAGTAGCATAATTTTTTACATAGAATGAGAAAACAGTATTTTATTATCAGCAAAATTTAGAAAGTGCTGCACGCGTTGTTTGAATTTAGTGCGTATTACGAGAATAATTCCCCACAAAATACCCTTTCATTATTCCATTCTGTGACACCGATGGATGAGGACGTGTGGAGGGGCGCATCATGCGCGCAGATTTCGAAGTGATTTTATTTTCCCTAAACTCGTCTCTTGCCTTTCGCGGCAGTCCCTTAAGCCGGGTTATAAATAACGGCTTATCTTTTGTCGGCTTCAACGCCGCCGCGACCCTGCACAAAGCCAAACTCTACCCCTCTTGGCGAGCCCTCTCCGGCCACCTTTTATGCCTCGTAAGGGGTCGCGCGCGAGAAGACGTCTCGTGAAACGTGCACTCGTAATTGCTTTGGCGTGTCCCTAAATCAAATCCCGCGATTTTTCCGCATTGGAGAACACCTACGTGTGTTTCGCAGAGAAATAGAGCCGTGGTCCTATTAAACTTCTCACCTCCGACGTCGCGTCGAGACAGATCAAAGTTCGAAAATCATTCAACCATTGAAGAAGCATTATAACTAAGCCACTCTTCATGTCCTATGCAATGTGGATACCTAAAAGTGGATCTAGTTAATATTTTATTAATTCTTTTATCTTGTATTACTTGACATATTAATTACTCGTTATCTAATTATATATATTTATGAAAATACATTTACTGTAAATTGTCATACACTGAGAAAAAAAAGTTGTTAAAATAACTAAATGCGTTTTGTTGACAGTTTTTTTTTATTCAATTATGTTTTTGAATTAAACATACATCAATAACATGATACATCATTAACATGATATTTTTATGAATTAACAAGTATTTTGTTGAATTAACAAAATGTTTGCTTGACAGCCCGTGACCGCCGTATTTAGTTGAATAAAATAATATTTTTTTAAATCAAAATTTTTTTCTTAGTGTATCTGTCTGCCTCAACGTAACATCGCGAAGTGATAATTGATCGAGAATATAGAGTTTTCTGTTTTTACATAATGTTTATATGCCGCAGAGGGTAATACGTCGCGACTCAGATTGGCGCCTGTAAGTAGTCAGACCTTTATGATGCCACGTACTTAGAATTGATAAGCATGATTAAACGCTAACTTGTTCAAAAGGTGTTTTATATATAAAGCTGATGATTTCGAATAATTAGCGACGAAATACCGCACGTTACATGCTCGCTTTTATAATAAAATCTACGTCGACG